GTAATTTTTCTATTTTTGTTTCATTTATATTATATTATATTATATTATATTATATTATTCATTTTTATTTATTTTTTAATTTATTCATTTCCAAAAGGTTTATGTCAGAGTTCGGGTTAGTCTAGTTACAGATGGGAAGTCCTCGCAAAAGATATTAGTATGTTCAGAATAGCATTGGCAAAATGGCAAAATGTAACCTTGAATGCTCTGTAAGTCATTTTTGATCAAAACATCTGCCAAATATATGACCAAAATATCATATCACGGTATGAGTAATCTTATATAGCAATATATTTTGAATGTGACAAATTTGAACATCTCTTTCTTGACTCATTATGTGATCAGACTGCCATTATTTCAGGAAAAATCCATTAGAAAAACCCATTGGAACCATTTCCAAATTTAAGCTTACAACAATACATCATTCTTGTATACTGCTGTGTCGCTCAGCAGGTCAAAGGTCAAGAGGGGACAAGTAACCTCTTTGTGTCATACAGAAGCAATCAGAAATGTAATCCTGCTTTGCTCTGTAATGTACTCGGCATCTGAATGTCTTCCTCCTGAAGAGCAGACACACGTATAGTATCATTACCCCAGGAAGCTTTTCCGCCTGACTGCCGCATTCATTTTAGAGATGAAAAAGCGCACTGACTCGGTCAGATGCGGAGATGAATGGCTCGCTGAAGAGATGTTGGATTGTCTTGGCCGAGATTAAAAACATATATTACACAGCATCTGGTGTCTGGGGCCTGGGCAGCAGCGCGTGTCGTGGCAGCAGAGGATGCGAGGGCTGCTGTACGTTTAGATAAGCTATTGTAAATAGAGTCAGAACAGGCTGGCGGCCCGACTGCACTATTACAGGCAGAATCCGGGAGTCTGAGCTTATCGGCCGCAGGGCACGTGTGTCTGTACGACTAATGAATGTCTTCCCATAATGCCTCTTGCCCTATCACTGCAGACCAGGGCATGAATGAGAGAGAGATCAAGAAAGTATCTCAGTTCCCTTGAGGCTCATTCGCTCCTATTTTTTCTTCCTTTTTGTTACATACTTTTTCTCACTTTCATACTTCAAGATATTGAAAGGTACTGGAATAAGCCCATGAAAGGAGTCCATACACCAGTCTGGAGAAGGGAATTGTGTGTGTGTGTGTGTGTGTGTGTGTGTGTGCATGCTCAGATGTGTGCTGTGTTTGTGGCTACCTAATTACAGAATTTTTATTTTTTTTGTTCTATAATATTAGATTTCATTATTGCATTATTTATTTTCATTTTTTTTGTTTGCATTTTTAAATATTACATTTTAGTGTATTAGTTATTTAATTTTCAATTAATGTTTTCCATTTATTTCAGTTAATTTCCATATTCATTTTTTTATTTATTATTTAATTTGATTTAATTTTATTATTTATTCCCTTTTATATGTGACCCTGGAGCACAAAAGCAGTGTTAAGTCGCTGGGGGATATTTGTAGCAATAGCCAACAATACATTGTATGGGTCAAGATTATCAATTTTTCTTTTATGCCAAAAATCATTATGACATTAAGTAAAGATCATGTTCCATAAAGATATTTTGTAAATTTCCTACTGTAAATATATCAAAACTTAATTTTTGATTTGTAATATGCATTGCTAAGAACATAATTTGGACAACTTTAAAGGTGATTTTCTCAGTATTTTGATTTTTTTGCACCCTCAGATACCAGATTTTCAAATAGTTGTATCTCAGCCAAATATTGTCCGATCCTAACAAACCATACATCAATGGAAAGCTTATTTATTCAGCTTTCATGTGATGTATAAATCTCAATTTAAAAATAATTACCCTTATGACTGGTTTTGTGGTCCAGGGTCACATATATGTATTTATTACTTTATATATTATAAATATATAATACATAACCTTAAATGCTCTGTAAATCATTTTGGATAAAATAATCTGCCAGATACATGAATACACATGCATTTGAATGTACTATTTTTGCTGTAGGGTGGGTGGTATGACCAAAATGGTATGAGTAATCTTATATAGCAATATATTTTGTGATCTGCCAAATGTTATGACTTTTGCATACAAAATTGTATAAAAATGCTAAATTACACTTATGATTTCCCATATGAAAAATGGCCACCACAAGCTAAATTAAACATGCAAAATAGTGCAGTCATGTGACAACAGCATAGCATTCTATTGCTTGAAAGATTTATTGTTACAAATTGTTCCACATTCTTATATTACTAAACCAACCAGTAGATAATGAATAGTATGCAGTATGCTGGTATTGCCACCCCAGGATAGTCAATGTACAGTATGGTTTAGGAGAGTATGTACTGATTTTATAGGCTGCTGTAGAATGTGTCCTACTCTATCCATTCTATTCACTATGTCTGCAAACACAATGTCTCTTAGAGTGTGTGTGTGTCCAGAGCGCCAGCATGGACACTCTACTTCTTCTGTTTTCAAGGCAAAGTGTTCTCGGCTCATGTATAATTCAGGCCTGTTCACTCCAGTGTTCCTACAGTGACCTGCTCCCTCTGACTTTCCTCATTTCCCATTTTTTAAATTTCTCAGTCCTTTTCTTCTTCTCTTTAACTTTGCATGCCACATGGGAGAAAAGGAAAGAGAAAAGTATGCAGACTATGCTTGCAGTGGAATACTGTTTACTCCATACTGCATATTGTGGGGTCCAAAAGTCTGAGGCCACATTGAAAATCCAGACCTTTTTTCATCTACACTTGGAAATCAAGAGAAAGTTTTAGGAGTTAAGAGTGGTGTCCAGTTATCATCTGGGAAATCAATAGTTATTTTTGCACTTTCAGTCCAATTCTAAGTAAAACATTCTAACATTGGCAGCCAGATCAGATAATGAGTCATGAAAGGCCAAGTGCACTGCATACAGCAAAATCTGCATGCTGTGTACCCAGAAATGAAGATTTGCTGAAAATGTGCTCACCCTCAGGCCATCCAAGATGTAGATGAGTTTGTTTCTTCATCAGATTTGGAGAAATGTAGCATTGCATCACTTGCTCACTAATGGATCCTCTCCAGTGAATGGGTGCCATCAGAATGAGAGTCCAAACAGCTGATAAAAGCATCACAGTAATCCACACCACTCCAGTCCATCAGTATCTCTTGTGAAGATAAAAGCTGTGTTTTAACTTTAAACCATTGCTTTGGCCAATTATCCATAATAACGCTTCCTCCAGTGAAAAAGTCCATCCTCTGTTTTCCTCTCACATAAAAATTCACCCACATATTTGTTTAGAGCTGTTTTGGCTTGTAAACAGTGTTTGATCTGTGCATATTTCTCTCCTGATTCAGAGATTACTTTTTTACTGCAGAAAGCAATATTAGACTTGTATTTTAGCGAGCAACCGTTTAAAGTTAAAATTGTCTTGATGGATTTGAAGACGTTAATTGATGGACTGGAGTGGTGTGGATTATTGTGAGGTTTTGTTTGGACTCTCATTCTGACGGCACCCATTCACTGCAGAGGATCCATTGGTGAGCAAGTGATGCAATGCTACATTTCTCCAAATCTCGTATGATTAAGAAACTCCTCTACATCTGGAATGGCCTGAGGGTGAGTACATTTTCAGCAAATCTTCATTTTTGGGTGAACTATTCCTTTAATGGAGTCATGATGGGATGCAATAGATCCAGTTTTTTTCTCTCCTCAGTTCAGGAGTTTTGAGCATTTAGGCAGAGGACAGCAACCGTAATTAATCTTGCCTTGGGAATTAGCCGGATGTCAGCAGTCAGGCAGCAGACGCATTTTTAAAAAGGGCACATTTAATGGCTTCTTGCTTGAGACTGCTGGCAGACCCTCACCACACACTGATCTCTGTCATCCTGAGATGCCTGACGGCCGGCCATTCAGCAGCTAAATGCTTCATTTATTAGAGTTCAGGAAGCGACTCAGTAGACATTTCGGTTATAATATGAATTGCTTACAGAATATGAAAACATATACCATATCAATAAAAGATTGTGGGATGTACATTGCAAATTTTTTTTGTATAAAAAAAAGATTATTGGAGAATGTTTTTCTTTCTACTTTAAATGTCATGTTTAATTCAATGTGTTACTTGCCATTTCTTTGCAGTTACTTGGGAAACTTACTAATAATTTCTGAGTGAAAAGTAAAAGTAAATCATACACAATTTTTTTTTTCAGTGTATTTTGAAAAATAAAAGCTGTTTTAAAGCGATACCATAATCTTATTATCATAGTATAGGTAGTTTATTAAAAATCACATCACTCATATTTCAACCTGGCAGTAAAAAATAACAGTACAAAACTTTAAATAATATATTTCTAGACTCATTATGTAATGAGACTGCCAAATCTAATAACATTAGATATCACAATGTAGTCATTTCACTGGCAATTGGACCCAAAATGTATTTATACACTGTAAAAAAATTTTTTTCAGAGTTTTAAAGAAAACAAAGATTATTGAAGTTTTAAAAGGAAATACTATTTAAGTTTTTCTACTTCAAAGTTTTACATTTAATTAAATGTCTTGCTGTTTCTTTGTATTTTTTATTTTTTATTTACCAGCATGAAATGAAAAATGGATGCCACTCACTTAATATTAAACATGCAACATAGTTCAGTCATGTGACAACACTGTATCTTCAATGCTTTACTGTTAATTTATTCCCTTTCCAGGTTCAAATGTGAAGCCATTTTTGCACTGATTCCAGATTATTTTCAGTTTGTTCTGAATGATCTTATCTGTTGGTCAGCATCCATCAAATGTGAAAATATAGTGGTAAAACTATATTGTTTGAAGCCATGCATGACATTTCTGTCATCATATATTCACCCTTATGTCGTTACAAACTTGCTTTTTTCCATAAGTGTATGCAAAATTATAGTGCAAAAGTCATAGGCCTCAGCTTCTTACTGGTATACTGCTTTCAGATTCGCAGTAGGTGTTGTGAACGGCAGTTACATGCCATTTATGTTCTGTGTTTGTCTTTCTCTCTCTGCAGAACGACACGTGGAGTGAGCTGTACTCGTTTGCCGTGTTTAAAGCCATGAGTCACATGTTGTGCATAGGTTACGGTCGTCAAGCTCCGGAGAGTCTCTCTGATATCTGGCTGACGATGCTCAGCATGATCGTCGGTGCCACCTGCTATGCCGTCTTCATCGGACATGCCACGGCCCTCATCCAGTCACTGGATTCCTCACGACGCCAGTACCAGGAGAAGGTAAAGCAATTGTACATGCATGTGGAATCAATCAACTAAATCAAGCGTAGTGTTAGTTCTGGCAGGTCACGTTAGTCAAGCTCGCATCAGCTGACACTCAGCTGATCCCCATCTACCTATAGGAATACGACACCTATCTAAGCATTCATATATAAGGTCCCTCAGTATTATCAGCAGTTTTCGCATTGCTCAATAGCTAATTACCCTCCTCCATCCCCAGCTCCTCCTCTGTCAGTCAGGATTCAGCCTTCTGGTTATCCTTTGAATCAGACTAATTCTAAAATGTGTACATAAAATTATTGAACTTTAACGATATCTGCAATACATTTATGTTGGTTATGTTCTGTTTACCCTGGGGGGTTATCGCTGCTCTCCCTGCTCTCATCCGTGCTAGGCTGCATGGATGCGCAGGGAGTTTTTGCCCAGAACAGAACCATACCGCGAATCCAAACTGTATGCTAATTGTCAATCATCTTTGACGATAGTGGTCCTGACAGAATTAAGCAAACGTCTGCAGATATAAGCTGCATTAGGGAGGTTCAATTCCCAAATGAATTGTTCTGTTGAATCTGTTTGAATTTACTATATTATAATTTACTATATACTATAATTTACTATATCGATTTTCATTTGGTGGCCATTTTGGAAGCATCTATGAGCAGTTATTTTTATGTAGGTAACTGTGAAAGCTTGTTCCTGCCACAGGATTAAAAAAAAAGGTTTTATAGGTTTACAATTCTACTTTTTTTTTTTTTTTCCAGAAATGTGATATAGTTTTCTTCTCACAATTCGGATTTTCTTTCCTAGAATTGTGAGTCTATATTTTGCAATTTTGAGTTTACATCACAATTATGACTTTTTTCTTTCACAATTGCGACTTTGTTTCTTGTGAGTATATAGGTTTTCTTGCAATTCTGACATTTCTTTCTTCTGAACTTTTTTCAGAATTGCAATATAAATGCACAGTTGTGAGTTTATAAGTCGAAATTGCGAAATATAAATGCAATTCTGAGAAACAAAGTATGCGAGGTGTTTCTCACAATTGTGAGTTTATAGTTTTTTTTCCCCGCAATTCTGACTTTATAACTGTCAGTTGCGAGCTATAAATTCACAATTCAGAGAATGAGTTGTGCGATGTTAACTTGCAGAATTGTGAGATCAATTATTATTTTTAATTCTGTCGTGGAAACAAGCTTCCACAGGTAACAGTTGTACAAGTACAGCAGAACTGTTTGTCAGAATGACATCAATAGAATCATATATTTTGCTTCTTTAGATCATCCTAATGTAGACAGCATTGTAATTTGCATACTTCTGCTTTGTATTTTGTGTACTTTGCTTTTAATGGAAATCTGCATGCTTTTGAGTATGTAGTAAGACAGTGTGGCAGAATTGGGACACTAGTGTCATAAAATTGCATGATGATGCCACAGACTACTTTGTCACATACTGTTTGCGTTTGCATAAAAGTGTCAGCCTCTGTCTATGTTCATTATTATTAAACTTTTAGGTTCATACAGTCAAAAAAAACGCTGTGTTAGCTTTGGCCTCGTAATCCTTGCTTTTTCCAAAATCATCAGAAAACTATCAAAAATGCGTTTGCTTCCATATCAGGGGTTGTGAGTAATGCTAGACTAAAGTTTGCATGAATGCACACCTCAAATGCACCATAAATAGTGCATTTGCATCAGTCACCTTTGACATATACGATTACATTAATTAAATTTTGTGTACTATTTAGGACAGAGAGTATGTAAATTACTTTTCGCCAGGAATATTAAAGTTAACTAAAACTAAAACCATAATATATATCTATATATGTATAATAATAAATTATACAAATAAAAAAACTGTAAACATATTTTCAGAGATATTATAGTTAAATAAAACTAAAATTAAAACCATTAAAAACATTTTATTACTTGACATAAAATAAACAACTGAAACCAACAGATGATTCAAAATATTTATAAAAACTATAATAATATGTCAATACTTAAATAACACTGAAATAGACTGTTATGCAATCCCAGAATGCATTGCATTGCAAGAGCTTGGTGAAAAAAATACAGAACTGTAGATTCCGTTCGATATTATTATATATATAATTAATAACTTTCACTAGTATTTGTTTGTGCTATATACTGTGTATATGTATGTGCTATATTCATTTTCTATTTAGCTTTAATGTATTTAGTCCAGTTTTAGTAGGCTAATTTTAGTAAACTTAAACGGATACTCCACCCCAAAATGAAAATTGTCATTGTTGTCATTAATCACTTACCCCCATGTTGTTCCAAACCCGTAAAAGCTTCGTTCGTCTTCGGAACACAATTTAAGATATTTTGGATGAAAACCGGGAGGCTTGTGACTGTCCCATTGCCTGCCAAGTAAATAACACTGTCAAGGTTCAGAAAAGTATGAAAGACATCGTCAGAATAGTCCATCTGCCATCAGTGGTTCAACTGTAACATTATGAAGCGACGAGAATACTTTTTGTACGCGAAAACAAAATTAATGACTTTATTCAACAATTCGTCTCCTCTGTGTCTCTCCGCATCACCGTAGCGCCATTTTGGAGAATATCCGCTGAACGCAAGCAGTGTACGCTCTTCTGTGTCAGCCGCGCTGCACGGATGTGCTGTTTTCGTTCAAATCAAAGTGTAAATACACGTAGAAAACATATCCTTGTGTCGCGGCTGACACAGAAGAGCATACGCTGCTTGCGTTCAGTGGATGTTCTCCAAAATGGCGCTACGGTGATCCGGAGAGACACAGAGGAGACAAATTGTTGAATAAAGTCGTTATTTTTGTCATCTTTATTTTATCATGTGTTTATTTTATCAACACTAAAATAACTTACAATGATTTGTAACAGTTTTAGTCAACAATAACAACACTGTCTGACACTTGATACTTTCCAGTGCAGACATAATGTTAGTTCCTTAGAGTTTATTAGTCTTGAACTCATTATCAAGGAACCCATTGCTTCACCTCACAATGCTACTCCTCCATCCATTAAAACTCATTAAAGTCGCAATTGTTCCATCTGCCTGCGCAGCTAATGTTTGTGCAGCTGTTACGGTTTGTTTGTCGCTGTAGCGTTGACTCAGCAGCTCTTCAGATGCTGTTGCGTTGATTGGATAATGACTGCTAATGCGACAGATACGCGTTTGCTCTTCTGACTGTGTTTGTTTTCACTGCAGGCTCTATTAGCCGATGAGACCGCAGCTACAGCATCAGCTAATGTAGGCTACTACCTACCGCACTGCTGACTTGGTTGTGGTTGTCATATTTCTGTGTGGCGTGTTTGTAACAGTAGATTAGACTTGGCGCGGCTTCAGCATTCCTGCTCGGCCAATCGTTTAGCAGCTCTGTTACCATGCAGAAAGATTGGTGGAGGCAACGGAACGCTCTGATTGGTCGCTTTGAAAGAGAGGGATTGCCTTCGGCCTATTTTAGCCAGTAATTTGAGGTGAGTGTATATCATCAAGTGGAGGACGGGCACTCGTTGCGTATACGATTTATGCGCGTGTGTGCGCACGCAATATTACAGTGTCTCTCGGGACGAGCTAAAATTGATGAGGCAGCAGATTAGTGTCCTGCCAGTGTCCTCGTGAAGTTGATGTAGGTGTGTGTGTGTGTGTGGCGCACTGTGATTCTGTCCTTGAAAGTGCCGTAATGAACTGATGGGAGCGAGGGAGGGAGGGAAATAGAAAGAAAGTCAGACAGAGAGAAATAGGGGGGTTGGGAATAGACCTGTAGGGGTCAGGGACGAGTGACCTGCTTCAATTCTCCTCTTGAACCGCCCCTTCAGTTTTAAAGTGACAGTTCACACTGCAGAAATGATGTTCTTCTTTAGTATTTTTGTATTGCTTTCCAGTACAAATATCTTAACGTTCTTAAATCAAGATACATTAACTTGAGAAGTAAAATGACTTTTGAGTTTATGCTTAAAGCAATAAAAAATATCTGTTAATAGGGTAAGAAAATCATTGTTTTCCATTTGAATTACTTTTATTTTCTCACCAACAGATATGTAGTGCCGTAATGAACTGATGGGAGCGAGGGAGGGAGGGAAATAGAAAGAAAGTCAGACAGAGAGAAATAGGGGGGTTGGGAATAGACCTGTAGGGGTCAGGGACGAGTGACCTGCTTCAATTCTCCTCTTGAACCGCCCCTTCAGTTTTAAAGTGACAGTTCACACTGCAGAAATGATGTTCTTCTTTAGTATTTTTGTATTGTTTTCCAGTACAAATATCTTAATGTTCTTAAATCAAGATACATTAACTTGAGAAGTAAAATGACTTTTGAGTTTATGCTTAAAGCAATAAAAAATATCTGTTAATAGGGTAAGAAAATCATTGTTTTCCATTTGAATTACTTTTATTTTCTCACCAACAGATATGTTTTTTTTTGTTTTAAGCATCTCAATTTTAATCAATTTTTTTAGGAAGCGAGAAGTAAATGTATCTCAAGTGAATGTATCTTGATATATGATTGTTTAGATATTTGTACTGTAAGACAAGACCGTTTTTGCAGTGCACCTTTTTTAATGTACTTTTATGTCTCACTTTGAGCAAAGAAAATACTAATTATTATTATTATTTAGAAATATACAGTACTGTTCAAACGTTTGGGGTTGGTAAAATATTTAAAGTTTTAAAATAAGTCTCTTCTGCTCACTAAGGCTGCATTTGTTTGATTAAAAATACAAGCAAAACATTGTGAAATTTTATTACAATTTAAAATGACTGTTTTCTATTTGAGTATATTTTAAAATGTAATTTATTTCTGTGATGCACAGCTGAATTTTCAGCATCATTACTCCAGTCTTCAGTGTCACATGATCTTCAGAAATCATTCTAATATGCTGATTTGCTGCTCAAGAAACATTTCTGATTATTATCAATGTTGAAAACAGTTGTGCTGCTTCATATTTTTGCAGAAACAGTTTTTCGATTTTTTAGGATACTTTGCTGAATAGAAATTTCAAAAGA